GACGCTAGCGCCGCCACCGAGCGCGGCCGGCGACGAAAGCTCTCCGGCGGTACATGTTCGAGAGCCGGAAGATTGGCGAATGCAGGGTCGAAGCTGGCGCTTGGCGAAGATGACGACCATGATGATGACGGTGAATGACTATGATGGTGATGTTGAGTGTTATTAGAGTGTTACTATAGAGCGTTTCAATTGTTAGTGCCACAATACTTTTACTTACTGCCTCGAAGATTGCTGGTGCTATTGATGAGAGCATGGTTCAGGTCTGACGATACATCCAAAATCATTGCATGATGTAACTCGGCTTACGGGTTTTCACTTCCAAGTGAAGTCAGTATTACCGCTCGTCCGCAGCACTCGCGTTTCTCGTTCTCCAGAAGCGCGCAGCCACTCACGAGCGCACGACAGTCAGCGTCTCGCCGAACAGCCGGGCCTCTCCCACGTGCGGACGTCTGCTGCGCCGCCCAGTCGGAAGCAGAGCGTGCTGAATGTGTCACCAGTACGCAGACGGGTGACGTCCTTACGTAACAATTCACAGCTTGTTCCGCTCACTCTCCTGAGTCCGCCGTCCCTGCCATTCCGTTGGCTCGGCCGCCCGGCTGACGCGTTTATCACCAGCGAAAGAAGGCGGCGCGCCGTGTAGGTCTGGTTTGGATCAGATCGTCGTTTCGGACAGCCATCGCCATTTCACTGCTATGGGGTCAAGGACAGAAGCGGGCAGCGGGGCAACCTGCGCGCCAGCACGAGAGCACTTCGCAACCGCGATTCCACACTGAACAGGGTCCCTTCTGGGGGTCTCGGCTCGGCTGCTCAGGCGGGCTACCACCGGGGCGGCGCTGAGGTCGGCAGCGGCTGCAGCTTGCCCTACAGAGAAGGGAGGTTGCAAGGCAGCTGATTACACTCGCATAACCGGTCGTAATCTAGCCTCCGGCGATGACTGGTACATTTGCCTGCGCTCGGGTAGCTCTCCTCTTTCTCGAGTGCTGTTGCGGTGTGTGTTGACTCGCTTCCCGTTGATCCTCCGCACTCTGCACCCAAAAGTACATGTCGTCATGCTCTTTGGTCTTGGAAACTGTAGTCTCTTGTGTCGGGGTTTTGCGATCCTCGAAGACACGCAATTTTCCAATTCGCTGCAATTTCAAAACAAGCCGGAGTTTCTCTCAGGGTGAGAGGCGTCAAATCTTGTCCAAACTTTCGCGAATTTACACCGAATTCCTCCAAAATTGCTCACAGCTAGGGCAAAACTCTTGGCTCAGGGAGACATAGCACCCATGCCCTCTGCCAGGTCAGTTGCCTGGCGACGTCTCACGTCTGGTGAATGAATAACTGAATATCATCTAGATCAACAACATTCGCGTTCGATGGGCGACTGACCAGCATATTCTTAGTTTGATATGTCCCTAACGTCATGCTTTGAACATTCGTTGCGTGAGTTAACTGTCAAACATTGGTATTCCCTCATTTACCCGCAGCTATGGAACTGAAGCACTCGCCTCTGCTACTACAACCTTCGCCGTCGTCTCTGTATGGCCCACAGAGAGTCGACGGACCTCTCCCGGATATCGACGGCATGCTTTCCAGTGGGAATCACGCTGGCGTGAAATAGGCTGGCTGCGCCAGCAGAAAAATGTTAGAAATACTCCAGTCCAGAAATATCCGCCTCCTTTGATCTGTTATGTACCGTATCTTGTGACCATTACCGAGCGAGACAAAACACAAGCAGCAGTATCACACCCAGCTTCACTGGCGCGAACCTATCTGCCACACGTAAGCCGAAACCACCTGACAGAGCCGTCGTGGGAGGCCGCGGCCAGAAGCTGTAACGTCAGATCGGCGATCTTCACCAGACGGTAAGCCCTCCCCGTGTCTTGTTGGTTCCATTCAGGCTGGCTTTGACTGCGGTCTCCAACCGGCGGAAGACTGTCACTCCAAACAATGCAGCTGCCGTGGGAAAAAATCTTAAAGAGAAATGGCAAGTGTCTCAGGCATTCGTGTATGTGATGGGTGCATGTTCGGCATTAAAAATGGAACTGGAGAGGCGGACAGAGCACGCCATTCAGAGGCAGCCAGAACAAGCCGTCCGGACGCGGACAAAACACATCTTCCAGACGCAGAAAAAGCAACGCTCCCCAGACGCGGAGAGAATACGTCTCCCAGACGCGGAGAGAACACGCCGCCCAGACGCGGAGAGAACACGTCCTCCAGGCGCGGACAGAACGTGCCGTCCACACGCGGACAGAACACGCCGCCCACACGCGGACAGAACACGCCGTCCAGACGCAGAAAAAGAACGCGGTACAGAGGCGGGCAGACCACGCCGTCCAGAGACCGACAAAGCACGCCGTCCAGACACGGACAAAGCACGTCGTCCACACGCAGAAAAAGCACGCCGTCCAGAGGCGGAAAAGCACGCCATCTAGAGGCGGGCAGAGCACGCCACCCAGAGGCGGACAAAGCGAGCCGTCCAGAGGCGGACAGAGCCCGCCGTCCAGAGGCGGGCAGAACACGCCGTCCTGGTGTAGACACGGCGTGCAGCCCAGACGCCGTATGGTCGAAGCAACGGTAGAACCAGACTGGCAACTAACAGACACTTGCTCACTTTTCGCGAATTATTCATATCAACCTTATGGTGACCCTCAGCTGAAGGCAAACTTTAAAAATTGGCCTCCTCACCAGGCTATTTTTACGCAGCTCCTACGCTCCTGAAAGGTGGACGTAACACGCAGTGCAAACTGGTGGCGGTGAGCGCAAGGGGCGAACGGCAGGCCGCCGGAGCGTTGGACGACGCGAGCGTTGGATGAGGCGAGCGTCGGACGAGGCGAGCGTCGGACGAGGCACACCGCGATGTACTTCTCCGCATTAAACCCGACAACATATCAGGTAAAGCAACATCCGACTGCCTCGTGAGGTGAAATCTGAACTGTGGCGCGGACAGAGCAATGCACAACGGCCGGTACACCCGGCCGGTCACCAGTGCTCTATGTTTGTCGTTTCTGCCGCTCGCCATGGCCACTACTCCCCGCTTCAAATTACGTCTTTCCGCTGGATTTTCTCGTTTTTTCCGTATTTCCGCTTTTCGCGTTCGATGCCACGGCTCCTAGCTCTTACGCGACCACTAAAGTCGCCGGAGCTTTGTAAAACGGCGCGTTTTAACGTTAGAAAGCGCGTGACTCATGAAACACTTTGACCCCTCTGTATTGAAATCTGAGTTCAGTCTCAGAGCACGCCTCCTGCCAAAGGCTGTAGGTCAAGATGATTGGACACATCGAACCACTGGCATCCTTCATGGAACTGACACCTAGAACTGCTCGAGCTTTGCCTGGCAAACGGAACAGCATCACTGTACTGGCTTTGACATCGCCATCCAGACACATCGTCTTGGAGACACAGAGAAGACTTGTCTCGTGACAGCCGTCCTGTATCTTTATCGTGAGTTCGGTCAAGGTCTTCACTGCTAGAGTTGGGCCATACAAATGTAATAATAAATAAAGCAAAGGGAGTGTGGTGATGTCAAGATGTTATGTAATAGGGAAGGGGAGGGCTGGGGACGACAGACCTCGAAATGAGCTCTATATGGAGCAGCGGAACGAAACATTCCAAGCGTTGTACTTCTGCGATGGCAGCCACGGAAACATTCTGTATCAATGCTTACCACCTTGCACGACAGGCCTCGTGCTTTGCCATCGATCGGCATTTAGCGCCAGTTTAACGTTAAAGCATTCAGCGCACACGTTTGATGAAAACGCAAAATACCAAATGGCTTTTCGTGGACACTGCAGTGAATGGATCCAGTCATATTTCAAGATAGAAGCGGCGCTATCGACCAATAGAGACCGGCGGCCATCCTTTCGTGGGAACACCGGTTCCCACGCTGCAGGGAACTTTGGATCGCTGTGCAGAGAGGAGCGGTCCGAAGTTGAGAGGCGCTAGCCCAGCGGGCATACAGCCCGTTTGCATAATTCAGTTTGCGCAGCTGGCGGACGACAAGTCAGCCTCGGCCGATCTGCCGATGGGACGCAAGGGTGAACCTCATCCTGCAATCTTACAGACGTGGTCTGAATGAGCTACACCACCCGTGGCTTAAAACCCGCCAAGATAGTGGGAGGAGAGAGGAGGGAGTAGCACCCATTCTCGCTTTGTCTCAAATATTCAGTCGATTGCAAGGAAATCGCAGACTTCTGAGTTTTAAACCAGCCGTAAAGACTCGATCTGGAAGTTCCAACACGTTGCATGTCAGACAACAGGGCTGAACACCTTCTCATAATTGCGTGCCAGGTCTGCACCGCCACAAGGCGGAACGTCGGTGCTCTGGGACATTCTCAGCATCGTGAGCCATGTCTTCGTCTCTAGCGGTTCTGGCAGCGTGAAATGGCAATTTTACAAACCTTTTCTTGAGATGCCAGCGCATGCGGGCCTGAACTGTACTACCGCGGACCCATCCACATTTTGAGACGTTGAGAACTTCTGGACGTGCGACGTGCGCAGTTCTCGGTATACGAAGTCTTTATCCGATTCCGGGTACTATTTTTCCGAGAGATTTGTATGTTTTTTGGGGGGCCGCGTCTTGCTCTCCTATCCTTTTCCGCTCTACCCACCCTGCTTTACATTGCAAACACCTCGCGCGCTTGGAGCCATCCATGCGACAACCTCAAACGTGAATGCTCGCTTTGAGATTCTTCGAAACTCATCTGTCTGTAAATGACAACGTATCAACTGTTGTTTTGCTTGTTGTTTTTTTTTTTGGTGTCTCGAGGCACACCGACTACAAAGGTCATTTTCCGCCCATCACACACTGTTCAATCACACTATGCTCCGCCACGAACAGTCCCCCACGCATTAGTTTCTACCCGCGAAGGGCATGCTCCAGCAAACTAAGCGCCATATCACTGCCCCAGTGCGTTAACCGCTCACAAACGTATCAAGGATATCACAAGATGCAAATGTTATGGACAGAACAGCAATACACAAGAAAACACCAAAAAGGCAGACAATAAAACACTCACCTTCCCGATTTTGTGTGGTCAGCTGGCCATTTCTCAAGCAATCTCAGAAAGCCCCGATACGCGCTAGAACCCATTGACAGCGATCTCGGATCTGCAACAGTCAGTGACACGTCACGACACACTGGTTTTGACAAATACGGTGCGCCGTCACAACCGACGCTCAATGTAAATCTCTCTCGTAACGTTTACCATAATAAATGTGATATCCCGTGCATTCCTTGCGGGTGGACATGGCGGGATTCCTGGTCAAATCTGTTAAAAGCAGTGATAATGATGTTTCACTCCATCAGCGGCAAGAAAAATCCTACCAAGATATACAAGATGCACATCCGGGCCGAGGAGCAGTGTTAGGATGTTTAAAAATATTCTAGGCACACCTTAGGTACAGCAGATACCATGATAATCAAGTTACGCACTTCCCGAACAAAATCGCTTCTAAACTCAACGCAGCTTTTGTGCTCAAATCCATTTCTACACTCTCTACATTTGCAATTATGGAATAATGCAAATATTAGTATTGTTTCCAGACAACGTGCACACAGAAAATACTACAACGTACTAATAAGCTCTCAGCCAACCATAAAAAACATTTTTGACATTTGTGTAGATTTAGGTGCGTATGACCCCGTTCGTGCATGGTACGATGCTTCACATTCTGCTTGCTGACTACGCCCCTTTTCATCCCATGTCAACTATCCTCACTAACTCGTTCATACAATCAGCCTCTCAAAAAGCTTCGGTACTATTCTTTCTACATCGAAGAGAAAATTACGACCCCCAGAGTTAAGTGGTGACCAAAAGACCCAAAGTAAAGGTATCTAAAAAACGAAAATGGTGTATGTATGTATGTATGTATGTATGTATGTATGTATGTATGCATGTATGTATGTATGTATGTATGTATGTATGTATGTATGTATGTATGTATATATATATGTATATATATATATATATATATATATATATATTTAAAATAAAAAGACATGGAACATCAAAAACATCCTCATTTGTGGACACTGCTAATGACAAATATGTATTAAATCGAATGGTAACGAGGAAAATCATTCATGTATGTATGCATGTATACATATATGTATGCATTTATGTGTGTATGTATGTATGCGTGTATGTATATGTATGTATGTACATATGTATGTGTGTATGCATGCATGTATGTATGTATGTATGTATGTATGTATGACAGGGCTTAGTGAAAAGCCATACCTAGTTTCTAACACCACTACAAGGTGTGAGGGCTGCGTCACAGAAGGCGACTCGGAAAGTTGGTGTTCTGCACACATTTTGAAGGCTTCTTGAACTGATAAGCTGCTTTTTGTCACGTCGACCTTGACGGCGCTCGTGCGGAACCTTACTTTCAGACAGCAGAGCATTCTCCATCGGGGAGATGAGCGCTGGGAGATCGCTTTCTTCTGGTGATAAGCATCTAGCGCGTACTCGCGTACAGGACATCCGCCTCCAGGAGAAAACAGCGGTCGTTCGCCATAAGGCCGAACAACAAGAAACACGGGGCCCGCTCCAGGAGAAGGCCCGTGGTGTTGTATGGTTATGAGGTTCCTGCACCTGATAGTGTGACGCTCAGCATGTGTCTCCGACGGTAGGACTCGGAGCACGCGGTGTCGGCATCGTCCAGCTGGGGCTTTCGCAAACAAGAGATCATGGCCAATGGTCTCCTAACATTTTGTCCAATCAGTCGGGTAGACCAGTGATACCTCATCGCTGTCGGCGACGGATACCAGCGCGGTTTCCGTGGAGTAATGGAGTTGGAAGCTGTGCTGGGCAGCGATAGGATGGTTATGAGAGCGCCTTTTGTTGAGCTCTTGCTTCAACCGCTCCACCACTTTGGTGATGACGAGAGTGATGCACCCAAGCCGGAAATTGGATGGGTCAGCAGGGTCACCAAAGTTATCGATGAGGTGGATAATGGAGTATTCCCAGGATTGGGAAAATTCGGATACGCTATATATGCATATACATATGTACACACACACACACACACACACGCACACGCACACGCACACACACACACACACACACATATATATATATATATATATATATATATATATATATATATATATATATCCTTATTCAAACACACCCTTCTTGATATCATTACTGAATTCAATGCTTGTCTATCCCCTTACTTATCATCTACTTGCATATTCAGCCGTATCCCCTACGATTTCTTCATACATGCATTCCGGTCGGAATTATGCGACATCGGGCTTCACCACGCCTTCTAATGAGCAGCCCACACCCGTGCAGCGCATTGACACAGCAGTGACGGAAGTAGGGCGCGTCACACGATATGACAAAGTGTGGGCCCCCTCAGTGTGCACTAATGCTTTAAAATCCAACTTAAAACAAAGTTGTACGTTTGGTTATTTGAAGCCAGTACAGCATCCTTTTAACTACAGGCAAGATGAGGCGATTACACATTTCCGAATATGAGAGAAACTGTACGATGATCTTGTGTGCCCACAAGGATTTTATTTCACGAATACAAAGCTTAAGCAAATGATGCTGAGGCAAAGTTACTATCGTATACAAAAATCGTGTTAAACATCTGATAATAGAAAAAGTTCAAATAGACGGCGCAGTGACATAGTACGCGAAACAAAACTTCACAAGAGCGCACGTGTTTGGAAAACCCGCGCGACCCACAGATGAGCATGGGCCTAACACAGAATATTGAGTGAGTGCCTACATGTAACATGGATGTAGGAAATGTAATGTTTCGCTGATGTCATACACCACGAAGCGCAAGACTGGCAGGACACTACCGCACACACTACACCACAACTCCATAATATTTCCCCTGGGAAATATCTATATTTTCAGTTTGTTATACTTTTGCGCTTACTTTTCATAGATATAAACACACGGAAGCAGACGTAAATCACTCACCCGCGTGACACGCCTGCAATTGTAAGCTGCTCTCTAAATACTTTCCCATGACGGCAACCAAATCATCATGTGCTTTTTCAAGCATTCCGTAGTCGTCATTGGGACTTTACGACGTACCCAGTTACTGAGGCTGTATGGCGTTGGCCACCCTACACCCTGCCCGAAAGGGTAGACAACGCGGTGAATCGAACCCTATATATATATAACCTACCTAATCGAACCCTATATATATATATAACTATCGAGTTATTCATATCTGGCGTTCGTGAGCACAATTTCCAGACATAGCGGTCATTAATTAAATCTCAATCAACGCTGTGCGGGATGCGATGACGCGATCAAACAATGGCGTATTAAAAAGCATCTCCCCTAAATAGGGAAATCGTGTCATCCAGAGTAGTTATTTACACTTAAAGGTATACCAATAGTTATAAGCAAGCTTATTTCATCTATCTGATGCCCGCTTCAATGTTTTAAAATGTGGAGCATTCTATTTCAGTAATGTGCATTCTATAGCTCAGCCTGTCCGTTTTAAATTATTTACAACGTTATTCCTTACATTTCTTGCCGCTTGCTTGCTCACAATGATTTCTAAGATTTTAGGTTATATAATTTACGTCAAGTCTTCACTTGTTAAATTGACAAAGGTGCTGACACCTGTGTCAAATTCCGAACGTATCTGTCAATCATGAGAAAGGTGAATGCAACTAACTGTTCCTTGACTGAACGAATACCATCCCACCTAACTAGCACCTGCAGGAGAATGTTGGCTCAGGTATCCCCCTTGGTGCCACCGGTAATGGAAAAAATATTCGCTGCCAGTGCCACGTCACATTCTTTCACCTACCCCGTCCCGTCCCGCGTCCTGCATCCCGCATCCCGCGTCCCGCATCCCGCGTCCCGCATCCCATATTCCAAATGCCACATCCCTTGCCCGGTCCAGTCCCGTCACCAGCCGGCCTTGTCTCACGTAGAGCACAAAGGTCAGCGACAGTCGCGTGGCGGGACGCTCGCGCACAGACGACACGGCAGTAGGTTTATGCGGAACTGGCCTTGGCTCCGTTATGAACTCGTCCCGCGACCCAGCATCCAAAGGACAGGCACACAATCACACAAACAGTACTGTACCCTCATCGTATACCGCGCACACTCACGCCAATAGCGCCACTGTTGAAAAGGGACGTTGCCATACCGGGCATACATCTCATCAGACAAAGCAACGTGGGCGGGACAGCAAACCAATGTCCGTGTCTGCTGCTCTGAAAAAGTCGGAATCGCGGTGCCATGGCTTGCACGTGACAATATGCACTTGAGCTCCCGTCATTATTGACATCCGTGCGGAAGCGGTCGCGTTGCCGCAGTGCCTTCATGATGTTGCTGGTGGTAATTAACAGTGAGCGCTCTCGGGTAAAGGGCGAACAGCTTGACGGCACGTAATTGGTTGCACGGATGTTTGACAACGCTATCAAGGGCGAAGTATTGCCTGAAGCTCAATGAGTGGTCTGATAATAGAACGTTATATTAATCCATAACGCAAGGCTGCTATCTATATATTGGGCACAGCCTTGAAATAATAAAGCAATTATTTGTTTTGATACTTGCTAGAGACTAGCCGTTTGGGATACACCGTTACTAGCCAATACCAAGATATGATATGACTAGCATAAAGCAAACAGTATTCTAATTGCAAGTCTGGTTTTAAAATGTTAGCTAATTCAGAACGAACTGTACAGACTGAGTACAATAACCTTATTCCCGCAAGCAAAGTTCAGAATTAGATGTACGACGTACAAGAACAGATCGTTTAACTTAACGCTTTTTCAATCAAAATATTAAAACAGGTAACGTCCAAGATCCTTTCAACGATGTTTCAGTAATCGGTTTCATTTCAGAAATCCCAAAAGTAACTATAACTCCTAAACTCCAAACTCCAGCTCCAAGTCAGCTTCTTTGACTTCAGCATGAACAGCTCAGCTGTTCCACTTTGTGTAGCTCAGTCCCGTAAACAATTGCTCATTTCCCGAATACGCCCACTGAACAAGGAAGGAAAGGTTGAAGTCGGATAACTTGACTACAAAAAAGGAGCAACAACACCAGCCCAGACCGTTTCCCGTTCACCTTTCACGACCGTTGCATATCTGATCCCAAGGGTGTCAAAAAAAT